TGTTGCCTAACACATTTCCCATCATGGGACTGCTTTCAACTCATGATTACTAAACTTCTTAATAATTTTGACTGGAAATGATTATGCTGGGCTTATTCCTCATGGTTGGATTTTTAATTTTTTTAATGTTTCAACAAAAAAAGCAAGACACCTTTCAGAGTTTAAAATTGGAAAAAAACCCAAATGTATTGTTTCCTTCTAAGTGTTGGGTGTATCTACTGTCTCTATGCTTTGGCCATAAATGTGGTGACCAAAGGTGTATGGGTCCCATATTAAAGTAGAATGGAACTGCGTACTGAAGCACTTACCAAATCAGGACATGTTCTTGGGGATTACATGTAAGTACTGCCAAAACCTAAAGCAGATAATGAGCCTTTGTCTGTTTTTCAGGTGTCAAGGAATATCCTTTGCATCTGGCTCTTGAAGCCACTAATACAGTTTGCTGTGAGAAGTGTTTTCCTTCTGTTTCTTTGAAAAGCTGGGACTTTCTCCATGTAACACAGCTACTTTTTTCATGCCTTTGTTGTCTCCATATTGTATATGCAACTACCCTGTTTGTGTAGTATTCCACAACAAAAGAACCCTAAAATAGCTGGAGAGCCCCCTGCAACTGTATAACAATACTTTGTAAATAAGATTGCATTCTCCAAGAGCTTTATGCAGGGATAGCCAGGGGGGTACAGCTTGAAAACTAGTTTGTAGAGGTTGTGGCTGCTTTCTTGCTCTATAGTGCTAGTCATTTTAGATCTATTATACATCAGCTTTGAAAACTTAAAACTCACTTTGCTTTTTTTCAAGCTATCTCAACAGGCCTTAAAAGATACTGCCTGTATTCTAGGACAACTTCCCATTGCTCTCGAGAGAGTTTAGTACAGAGCTGCTGTTTTAATCTTGGAGAGCTCTGTAACAAGGTACTTAGTGAGAACAGCTGGTGTAAAGTTACGCATTGTATAAACTATAGCCTTGCAGGTTTTGTTAAACTAAGATTTTCAGGGCAGCTGAAGGGACTGTTAAATATTGTTTCATTTAGGTTCTCTAGCTGTCCACTTTAGCCTGTTGGTTTTGTCTCACGCTTAGCTTGTAAGGCCCTTTAAGACAGGGAACACCTCCTGTTTGGTTCAGTAAGTAAATTACGTAAGTGCTGCTCTATTAAGGTAGATCAACTGGTGTTACAGCAATCCGGGTAGTAGGATCTGCCATCATCAAAGAAATATAAAAGCGCACACAGGATTTAAGTGAGATACGGCCCTTTCATGCTTCACTTTCATGCTTTCTGCATGTTTTCATGCTTTGCTGCCTCCAACCTCAAATGTCACTCCTTCCCACACAGATATTTTGGCAGTAATCAAAATCACCGGGAAATTAAAACTGGTTTGTTTCCTATAGTCAACCATGACTCCGGACATAATGATACCTCTTCAATATCTCTACATCCATCTTTTTTTTCCTGCCAGAAGCTGCTATCTCAAGAAACAAATATATTCGGAGAGTCAAAGATGCTTATTGCCTTTCATAAGTCTAGTGCTGTATTTGTACAATTGGTACTCTCCAGCAGGTGACTGATGTCATTCAAATAACCTTCAGATAGCTGGCTATTCAGAAATGGCTCATACTTCCACTTTATCCCTACTTGGATTGGTTTTTTTTAGTCACATAACTGATAATAGCAGGATTTCATAAGGAAAATTTTTCTTATACAAAGAAAAGAGTATTCAAAATAAAATAAATTAGATGGGCGCTATTTTAGCAACACATTTCACAGACTGGGGTTCTTTGTGTTGAAATTGTGGGTGGAATTAGGGAATATTACTCAGATTATTACACGTAACTTTATGATTCTTACCTATCTAAAGAAACAAGCAAGAAATCCAAAACAATCTCAAGCCAAGGTACTATAATAACGCTGCTCTTCTGTGTGAGTGTATTTCCAAGGATGCTGCAATACATTTTTTCACTGAATGCTGCACAGCTGTTGCACCTGGTTCTCAGAAACACATGTCAAAAGACGTTACACTGGTGAATACCAAGAAGGTGGTTCCCCTAGCAACAATAAATAGAAGAAAGCTCAGCCCATTCAAGTGATTTACCTTTGTAAGTGTGTGGCAGCAAAGATGGATTTTGAACACTAAGGGAACTCATTAGCTGCAAGAAGAAAAGCAGCAAATAAAGAACTGTAGATTTCTCTTACCCAGCATTGCTATTTATTAGAATCATATACAGCATAATTATTGGAAATTGGCATAGGTTATTCTTAACGTGAAGTATCATCTCATTTTACTTTTTCCTTCTGCAGCCTTTAATTATCTGTACTACGGGGGGAAAAAAATATGCTGTATGTGGGAAGAGGGAAGGAGAAAGAACTTTAAGGGAAACGATTATTTGGATAAGTACACCTTCCAAACTTATTAATAATGTCCTGCATACTTACTCAGGCCTAGCATTTGAGTGACATAGGCCACTCAGTGGTTCACATGTTTGTACACTAAGGGTAAATTTAGAGATTTAAACATAATAATTATGCCAAGTCTGCCCAGCAATAATTCTTAATGTAGCCATGAGAGGTTGTAATGGCATTCCCAGTCATACTACTGCTGCCTCTGTGAAGAAAGCTGTACAAAGCAAGACTAAATATTAGTCTTGGGAGTATCACACTCCACCTCTGCAGAATAAAGGGTAAGTTTATGGTATTTGGGTAACCTGACTCATGTTGTGGAAGAGCTTTGCAGTAGGTACCACTAACTGTGGTACACATCGCTTGCTAGAATCTGTGTGGATCCTTCTCTTGACAATTGGTATCTAGAAAATACAGCACGTAGGCTCTTCTTGTATAGTTTGTTGTTGGCTTTTAAGTCCTCTGAGTCACCTGTCCTCTGGAGTTTAGAGCTCGGAATGAAGCCAATATAATTGTAACTCACTATAGTTCAGCGATGCTATTTACATTTCAGTGCTATCTCTACATCAGGCATTCCACCTCCCCCCTTCTGTTTCCAGGCATCTGCCTGAGGTCTGCAGTTTGTGCTTATGATTTGTAAGGGCTGGACTATGGTTATGTACCTTGCACTTTAGTCTTGGCTAGAACTGTTACATTGTTGAACTGCTTCTCCTGCTCTTTCCTGATGCAAGTGTAATTACTCTTCAGTGCTGTGCTGCTACCTACATAGTTTTGCTGCACTTCTGTAGTCCTTATCTGACTACTCTGTAGCTGCTGGCTTCTAGTTTAAATCATCTTTGAATATATGTGTAAAGCTCCAATATTCTTCTCACTACCTCCATTGATTTCAGAGGCAGTGGAATCCACTCTTACATTAATATTGCCAGTATTTCATTTCCTTCATTGCTGAAGAATTTTTTAATGGAGGTTCTCTCTCCTTTTCAGTCCCCTTTGCTGTTTTTTGCTTCAAATCCATGCTGTAGAACTCCTCAGTTGCTTTGCCCTTGCTGTCCTCTGTATTCAGGTAATGCAGTAGTTTTGTATTCAGGATTTTTCTTCTACCAGTGCAAATGAGAACAAAACTAGATGTCTCAGCTAGAGCGACCACCTTTGTATGCAAGTATGCACAGACGCATTAAAGCTAGGAGCTGTCGTTTCAGGTATCTGTCTAAATGAAAGCCTAACTGCAGTAAGACCTTGGCTACTAGACCCCTCGGACACAGCTTACTGAATCTGTACCTGCACATGTCCTGCTTTTCCTCTCAGGCAGTGAATGAGATGGGGGGCACTCAGGATGAAATTACTATTTAGAGATGAGAATTCTGAACTGAAACATTTTGCTTGCTCCAGAACAGAGCAGACAGAAAGAGTCTGGGCTTTGGCTCAGCAGGCTGAGAATTGGTAGTTTTGTTTCCTTCAGGGGTCCTGACCTACTCTCCTGCAGCCTAGGCCCTGATTTGGGACTGCAGATGGGCTCTGGGACTCTCCCAGGGAGCTATTAGAAATCACAGTACACCATGGTCTCTGCACACCTTATCCTTCCCTTTACCTTATTCTTTTGCTCTCAGAAATACAGCAACCCTACTCTTAGGCAGAGATGCAGATGAGGAAAGCAGCAAGTAGGATGGGGGATGTTTCCATGTGAACAAAACATGACATGATTTGGAAGAGGAGGTGAGCACTGATGGAGGGAAGTCTTAATGTGAGTTCTCCCTGTTAATGAAGCAAAAGGCTGAAGAACTCCTGAGGTAAGAAAGGGACATGTGAAGAACTGGTTGAACCACAGAGTTTGTTTGTTTTCTCCAAGATGGTGGCAACCCTTGAACAAGGTGCATTTCCATTTATTTAAAAGCTAAGAAAGGAAAACTGAAGCAGCACCTACATGACCTGGTAGGACAAGACAATATGACACAATACGCATTAACTCAGATAGTTACAGTTCAGAGTGCTGTATCCATATTTGCATAGCTGGAATTTAAAACTGCCTCAAGATTTTCACAGAAGTAGTACGCATTTCAGCAGTGTCCTTAAAGTCTTCAGCAACTGTTTTTTTTTCCCTTCCAGCAAACCTGTTCAGTATTATTACATTAACTTCTGATTCACCAGTGTTTATGATGTGTGTAGGTTAATGCAATCATGCATTGTGTTTGTAATCACAAGTTCATCTCCAGGCAAAGAAAAATGCAGAGAGAGATGTACAGTTATTTAAAAAGCATGAAGTCCTCCTGACTTTAGAAGGGATTTACTGTAGTGAATAGTGTTTGTGAATATCCATTTAAATAAGGAGATTTTAAGATTATAAATCAGGGTAAGAGAGTGCATCTCAACTTTTTAATTACAGAAAGAGTAGGTTCCATTATAATGATATGTTTTATGTTTAAAATACTTCCATTTATAATTTGTTGGTTACATGTTTCACTACAAATCAGTACTGTATGTCAATTTAAACATTAACAGTTTCACAAAAAAAACCCCACCTACTTAATGTTCAGCAATTGAATGCTTCCATAGAATACACTTTGGAAAAGCTCATCAGTAAAATACTGTAGTGATTCACGAATTTGTCCAAGTAGTATATTCTTTATTTGCAGCGCGCTGGATGCACGGGGGATCTCTCCACCTATCGTGCATGCCCACAACAAAAGTTACATCTCATTTATACAATTGAGTAATGAATATTCTAATAACGCCTATACATATTCATTATCTAACCACCTCGCTCCTCATGCTAATTAGTTGCGTCTGCGCAGATCTTCCAAATAATAAATAATCGGGGTCGTTCCGGTGAAGGCTGATAGTCTTCCTCGTCCCCTTTCACCTAGTTGGCGCCAGGTTTCGCTGATCTTTGAATATATTGCTGACAGCTTGAAGGTCCTTTACGCTTATCAGACCGTCTCATTATCCACCTTACAACAAACTGTTTTTATAGTTCCTGTGTCTTCTATCTTCAGAAGGTCAGGGTTCTTTATCTTTAGAGGGTCAGGATTAATTGGTATGCACAAACATCTGCTCTTTATCAAACACATGACAGAATATAAATGTAACACAAATTATCTACATATACATGACAGAGTAATGATTTACGTAAACACCTGGTTCACAATAATTGTCTAATTATTTGTCTAAATATATTTCTCTTGTCCTCCATCAGTAGACTGTTTATTGCCTAAGAAATACTCCATTCCTATTCAATTCTTGAGGCTATAGCATTTTGTAACATTTCATTTAATAAAAGCTTTTCACCTTTTGGCATCTAGCCATATCATGAGTAAATTCTTTTACTACATTTTATATGATTTCATTAATTGCTTTCTTATAAACCATGAGAGAACATTGAAGCATACAACTAATGATTATTCCTAGAATGATTATTAAAATTATGGTTATAAAAAGGTTCTTCAACCAAGCAAGATTTGGTAACCACGATGTTAATTTATTCCAGAGTTCTTCAAAACTCCAGGAGGTGTCATCCTGTGTAACCTGATGCAGTATTTTAGTCTGATCCCAAATTACCTGCAAGTCTGTGGAAACCCGACCACTCTGGTCAACATATGTGCAACAACTAGTATTGATCATTATACAAACTCCTCCTTGAGCAGCTAGGAGGATATCTAAAGCCATTCTGTTTTGCAATACTACTTTGGACAGTCTCTTAAGCTCTTCTTGTTGCGCTTGGATTGCGTCCATAGTGGCATTTTCCAATTTTTCTACAACAGCCGAAATATTTACTAGTGCTTTCTCAATTTCACTCACTCCTAACCATGGCAAAAACCATCTTACAAAACCATGAAAAGCGGTAGGTTTCTCAATTAAAGGATTGTTTCGTTTAAGTCGTCTTAATGGGCTTCTCAAAAATCCCTTATCTAATCGAGTATGTATTGTCATATTGGGAATAACTACTCCTAAGGTGCAAGTTCCTTTCCAATTTTCAGGTAACGTTTTTCTAGCAGTATCATTACATATCCAATACCAT